TAATATATATATATTGTCTTTGCCTTCTATCTCTCTTTATTTCTTCCATCCTACCTCTTTCCTCCTCTCCAGATTTTCTTTATTCTTAAGGAGTGGAAGGGACTAAAGGTCCATTTTCTGTAACTGCTTCAGGCTGTGGGTGGAATTAACCCTGCTTAGCCAGAGATCAGAAATCTCACACTGACTGATTTAAAGGAGAAAAAGGTTTTTTTTTTTTTTTTTTTTTTTGACAGTCTTGGGTTAGCAGACAGGTCCTCTTCCCAGGAGCAAGGGTTAGGATTGTACACTGCTTCATTCTCTTCTCTGCATTGTGTTGTTTTTCCAGTTTCTCTGTAGTTTCTAGTTTTCTTACCAGGTTGGCTTGGCTCGGCCCTTGCCTTCCCTTTCCTTCTGAGACAGGTTCCCACTATATAGTTTAGGCTAGTCCTAAGCTCAGTATGTAGCCCAGAATGGTCTTGAACTCATGGCAATCTTCCTGGCTCAGTCTCCTGAGTGCTGGAATTACAGGTATGCATCATCATGCCTGACTCCTGTTGACTCTCTGATTCCCAGAGATTTCTTTCTTTCTTATTTCACTAAGTTATTGTTTTCCAAGTGTCTCAATTGAGTCCGAGAGAAGCTGCAGACAAGCTGCTTCTTCTAGTCTTTCCTCTGAAGCACTCCGAAGCTCTCCACTACCTAAGGCCTTCTGCAGATCCTCCTTTATATTCCCACTGGGGACAATCACTATAAAGAAATGTAGAATGCCAAGATATACACTATCACCTTTGCAAATCTGGCTTCAGGCATGCCCCCATGTGGATCTTCTGGGAAGAGTACAAAAAGTAGAAAAACTGGGTGTGGTAGTATACACTTGTAGTTCCAAGTACTGGGGGTGGGGGTAGCAGAAGGATTTCTTAAGCCTGAGAGTTTTGAGATCTGCCTGGGACCTGCCTCTCCTTTAATATGGCTATTTATACCTGGCCTTGCAGGAAAGGGTTGGCTGTGGATGGTCATAGTGGCGGCACATAGAGAGTTTTGGTCTCAGATCAGGAAAGAGAAAGAAACAGTGGTGGCTAAGACTAAAGAAGTGAAAAAAGAACCTATTCTAGTTTGTCCACATTTACAGTCGAGCATTGTGGACAAGAATGCCACCTGAAGATCTCCAGAGTCGTTTGGAATCTTATATTAAAGAAATTTTTGGTTCCTTTCTTCCCAGTAAATGGCAACACATCTCCCTAGAATACTGTCATATGAAGTTCAGTCTCTTGGCACAGTTAGCTGATGACTTGGGCCAAGCAGAACCTAACTCCAGGCTTCACCAGATGTGCAGCGTCAGAGATGTTCTTGATTTCTATGGTGTTCCTGTTTAGGAAAGATCTAAATTTGATGAATTTACTGCTAGTAATTTGCCTCCCAATGTGAAAATCACAAGGTTACTAATCAATTCAGAAGATGAACACAGTGAAATCATTTTTGTTTTCCTGATGAAAAGGCAGCTTATGACATCTTTTAGTACTTTACCTGTCAGAATTGTGTAAATCCACTTTTTGTATAGAAATACAAAAAAACTCCACATTTTTTACCTTCATATCATGAGTCAACAAAGAAACAACAGGATTTTCTCTTTTCACATTTGCTGAAGCCATATTTTACTGGAATCAAGTTAAATAATTTATGGAAGTTTTTTTCTTCAGAAAGCACCAATTAAGTTGCTTTCAAGACAGGAAATTACAAGTTCAAATGTTTGTCTTTGTAGGCATATAGCAGTTATTGCAAGAAACTGTTCAATCCTATTGGAACTCTTTAAGATGGAATTATCATACATGCATGTCACATACAGATAAAGAAACTTGTATTAGATTAGATATTAATAAAATAAGTTGAATATGAAAAAAAAAAGAGATCAGCCTGGGTAATATAGAAAACCCCATCTCTAAGTAAATAAAAATAAATAAGTATTTCTTCTAATAATCCTGTGTTCTCAAGAAAGTGATGCAGGTTTCAGGCAACAAAAGATTGGAAACCACTGGTATTCATCTGAGCAACACAATGAGCTCTAGAAAGGTCAAGACAATGCCTTGAACTGAGAGAAGGCCAGAAACAGCTGCATTCCTCTGTGCTATAGAAGAGTTTAGGGTTCCCAAATTACAATCTCTAAGGGTGGAAAGGAGCAGAAATGGGTTGGGAGAGGAGGAAAGACAATCTGACCACTATGTGGCCAGCAGCTGAGATCTTATCAGGAAGCTCAGCCAGTGTGAGGCCTGAGGGGGAGAGATAAGTACTTCCTAGATCTCATCCCCAGTACCAAAGGGGTGGGGTAGTGCTATAAGCCATCACATGAGTAAGCCTTGAAACATCTTGTTAAATCAAAGAAGCCACTCCCAAGAATGTCATTTACTTTATGATCCCATTTATATGAAATGTCCATAGAGAAACAGAAAGTGGGTTTGGGAAAAGGGGGACTGGGATGTGATGTTCCAATGGATCTGGGATTTCCATGTGGGATAATGAATCTGTTCTGGAACTAGGTGGTGGTGATGGCTGCACAACACAATGAGTGGCCTAATGCCACTGAGTTGGTTATGCTATATTTCTTCTGCCATAACTAAAAGAAAAGCCAGGTGCCATGCACCTATAATTCCAATCTCAGCTACTCAAGAGGACAGTTTGAGCAACACAGTGAGAGCACCTAAAAAACAAAACAAAATATCTAGGCATAGTGGTGCACACACCCGTGATCCTAGCTCTTGGGAGGCCGAAGAAGGAGGATCGCAAGCTTGAGCTTAGTCTAGGCAACTTAGTAAGACTCCGTCTCAAAATAAAAAGGGTTAGGTAATATAGCTCAGTGAGAGAGCCCTTACCTAGCATGCCCAAGACCCTGGGTTTAATCCCCAGTACTGGCACATGGTATCTACCTTTGGGATAAACATTGTCAGAGGGCTAGAGAGATAGCTCAGTGTCTTAAGTGCCTGCCCAGCAAGTGCAAGGTCCCGAGTTTGATCCCTGGTATATATAAAAAAAAGAAATAAAACAAAAAATGTCAGTTTCTAGTCTCTGTAAGGGAAACAAGGAACAAGAAAAAAACTGCTTACCTGAGAGTCCCATTTTCTCCTTTGTCCAGGCTGGTGAATCGGCTGTAGAGGCGAGTGATTTGACTGTGGGAAACTAAAAAGGGTACAATTAGTCCTTGACAGGGAAGGAGGCCTCCATTCATACTGCACTCAACCCACTGTTGAGTGCTTCTGGGTGTGTGACACAGGGTGTGTGTGTTGGGTGTCATCTGAGCAACACAGTGAGAGCACCTAAAAAACAAATGTCAGACTCTTAGTCATCTCCATAGTGTCAAAGCGCAAAGCTTAAATGCTGAAGCACAGGAGTGAGCAAATCAAGAGCAATCAAAGCTGGCTCTCAGAAATGATGTCTAGGCTTAATCCAGAATGTACTAGGGCCAGGGATGTAGCTCAGCTACATTGTATGTGCTTCACATGAGCAAGGCACCAAGTTTGGCCTCAACACCTAATGTGTTGTCAGATGGTTATTACTTAACAAAGCCAAATTTAGTTTAAAAAGAAATTATGAGATGCCGAGTTAGAGGCTATGAAAATGTATGCTTTAATTAAAAACTCATTAAATCAGCTTTTTTTTTTTGTATTTTAGGGAAGGGCCTACAAGATATTCAGGGTCTCACTACTAGATCAGACTCCTAGTGATCTGCCTGTTTACCGCCTCCCAAGAGCTGGGATCACAGGCACGCCCCGCCATGCCCAGTCTCAACTGCCACCGCAGCATGCCCTGGGGGTGGGGCCAGGGGATCAAACTCCTGATCCCTGCACCTGCTTGCAGATGCTTTAATTCACTGAGTTATTTGGCCAGCCCCTTAAATCAGCTTGTCTTTTAGGCTAGCATTGCTGGCTAGATAACCTGAATTGAATTAAAGATTGGGGAACAGCAAAGAGGTTCTATTATCTAGTTATGTCTGTGCTAAACACTGGAGGCTTTCACTTAAGACTAACCTTAGGGATAGAAGATCGCCACATCCTGGTATTGGCCTCTTTGCTGACTGCATGAGCTCCACTGAGTTCCCAAGAAAGGAAATGGCTCCAAGGAAGCAAACTAGGCAATTTATAAAGTGGTCACGCTATCACTAGATGACATTTGCAAGAAAGGGATTTTTTTCTTCCACTTGGATTACCTCTGTAAATTTATGTACAAGTTGACAATTAAAATGAGCTAATACTTGCAGGTATCCCATAAAACTTTTTTTTTTTAATTTATTTTATTTATTTGTGTGTGTGTGTGTGTGTGTGTGTGTGTGTGGCCAGCTCAGCCCACCAGGGGGCGGGGCTGGCTGGCATGTGGTGCTGGGGGATTGAACCGCGGTCCCTGTGCGTTGCTAAGCTTGTTCTAAGAAGGTGCTTTAGACCACTGAGCCATCTCACCAGCCCCACTGAGCCATCTCACCAGCCCCCCCATAAAACTTTGAAAGAAAAAAAAAAAAAGCATTTTGGGGAATAAGTCTCTCGGTACTTTGAAAAGAGAGTGATTACCCACCCCCCAAAAAAAACCCCTAGAGAACAGGGTTTAGTGGCTTATGCCTGTAATCCCAGCACAGGAAAGGCTGAGGTAAGTGGACTGTGGCAAATTCAAGGGCAGGTTGGACTAACAATGAGTTCAAGGCCAGCCTGAAATACACAGTGAGAGCCTACCCCCTTGAAGCCAAAAGGGTTGGTGGGACAAATTTGAACTTTGTCTTAGGCTGCACTTTCAGGGGTAACAGAAGTAGTCCTAGTCATATTTCTCCCTGAGCTCACACAACAAAACTGGACTCCAAGTGTTAGGAACAATGGAACAAAACAAACAAGGGCTGGGGAGGGGGGCAGTCAGGGAGTGGCCCAGAACTGGGATGAGAGGACACACTAGAAGAGTACTGTGACCGCTGTACCATTAGGTTTCACCCTTGAAGACGTGCTCTCTGTTCTGCATTGGGGCTTCAGGGTGCACAGAGAACAGAGAGCAGAGAGGGAGAAGCATTCCCATCCAGGGCAGAGCAGCAGGGGTCCAGCCACCAAGGAAGCAGCAGCAGACTGTTTGCAGCCAGGCAGGTGTGAATAGCTATCTGTGATGAGTACACAACTTTGGTGAAGGTCAGGGACACAGGTTCTGACCATTATAACACCACTATTTACCAGCAAGGGCTAAGTAAAGGGGGTTGTGTGCAGAGGATGAAAGGAAAATGGTGGCCTGGCACTGCAGGTTAGTTATCTCATCAACCTGACAAGGTGAGCCTGAAAGGTGAGCCTGAAGGGACCTTTTTTTTTTTAAAAAAAAAAAAAACCTTACTTGTTTACAGTCCCAACATTGTTGTTTTTATTTTTTTATCCTATGTAGTATCAGTCATCTCCATACTTTACACTGCTGTAATAGCTCATTTTTCATTTAGTAACTCATATTTTTTTCTGTATTACCTTGGATTACTTTTTAATAATGGCATTATATTTAGTCCACTGGATCAGACTTCAGTGTTTGGAGCATTATGTACAGGTTCATGAACTTAATTATTTCTATGATTCTGTACTTCAGATTACTTTTCCTTAAGGAAAGCAATGAAATTATATTTCTTTGTATATTTATCTTATGCCATGCACATGATAGAAATCCAGATGTACAAAAGAATGCACAATGAAAACTTTGCTTAAAGCTCTAATTCTACAGCAGTGGTGACAAACCTATGGCATTCCTGCCAGAGGGCTGTTTGTATCATTTAAAGCTAACAGGTCACCATTACTGTCCTAGGCCATATGCAAACACTATTACTAGTTTGAGTCCCTCTAGAAATTCCTGTCTGTCTGTCTATAACAATTTAAACAACTTTAAAACTGATAGGAATATTATTATTATTATTATTATTATATATATTTTTTTTTTGCGGAACCGGGGATTGAACTCAGGCCCTTAGCGCTTGCCAGGGAAGCACTTATTCCACTGAGCTGTGTCCCCAGCCCCCTGATAGGAATATTATGATGTAGTCCTAGTCCAACTCTGTTAAATAAATGACCATTATCTTGCTAATCTAATTCATCATCCAAGAAAATAGATCACAGAAACCTCTGACAGTGTGACTTTTTAAAACTCTAAGTAAGAACTAGTGTGGCTTTACACTTTTTGTTGGGGGTGTGTGTGGTGGGATCTACCGATGGCTATTTGAATTTATAATGCGCGGTAAGTTCACAAAAAATATGTACATAGGTACTCTAAGCAATCATGGCATTGTTACCTTTCAGGATAGATTAGGCTATACGGAAACCAGGAGAGAAATATATGGCAATTTTTTTTTCTTTTGATACTGAGTTGAAATCTAGGGTCCTGAGCACTATTAGGCAAGTGCTTTACCACAGAGCCACATCTCCAGCCTCAGATGTCAGCTTTTAACATAACTCAATATGGTCATATCTGAACCTATCTCCTACACTTCATTATTATTATTTATTATTTTTTTTTAATTTAGTGCAGGGTTTACAGGGTCTCACTACACAGATCGGACTTCCAGCGATTCTCCTGTTTTCAGCTTCTCAAGCGCTGGGATTAAAGGCATGTGCCACCATACCCATTCTCAATCGCATCTCAGTGCACCCTGAGGGTGGGGCCGGCACAGCAGGCTGGGGATAGAACCTCTGACCCCTGCATCTGCCTAAGCAGGTACTTTAATCCACTGAGCTATCTGGTCAGCCCTAACTCCTACATTTCAGAACTAATATCATTTATTTTATTTTTTATGATATCATTTAAAAAGGCCTCTAACAAAAAGGAGAGAAAGCTAGTCTCAGTGCTAATTCAACATGCCAAAGAATATTAAGCGAGCTCTAAGGCAGTGATGGTGATCCTATGGCATGCCTGCTGCAGTGGGCTGTCTGTATTCTTAGACGCTCTAAAGGGTTCGCCATTCCTATTCTAAGTTATGAAGATTAGAACAACTTTAGTCCACTTTTGTTTTTATGTTGAATATTCTCAAAACTTGTGGGTTTAAGGGATACTGCCACCTCAGCCTCCTTCAATTCTCTCCTTTTCTTTTCTTTTTCTTGCTGTCTTTCTTTTCACAGGGTCCTGCTTTGTAGTACAGGCTGGCCCTGAACTCACTACATAGCCCAGGCTGGCTTCAAACTTACGTGATTGCTATGCTTCCCTTCCCTAGTGCTAAGATTACAGGCATGTGCCACCATGCCTGACAGCCCAATCCACTTTTAAAGAAGGTACAAAACCTATGTACAGAAAGTTTTGAGAACTGCACAAATGAGGCAGGATATATTTCCAGTAAGTCACTCTCAGTAGAAGGTACTATGCTAGCCAGGCAGGGTGCCCCAAACCTCATTCTTGGTAATTCAAAGATGTCTCTGGTGTTGCTAGTCAC